CTGGACGAAAAGTACCCCGGCATGGTCCCTGGAGAAGCCACCAGAGCACTCCAGGGGAGGGCCATTTCTCGACACCCCTCACGAGGATCGTGGCCTCCGAGGGGGGAGCCGCAATCGACTACCCCCCCTCCCGCCCAAAGAGGCCCCCCCAAATCCCCCCAAGAGACCCTGGGGGCCCCCAAGACGCCGCCAAGGAGCCCCAAGAGACTCCCAAGAGGGTCCCAAGAGGCCCTAAAGAGGGCTCCAGGGCCGGCGGAAGGAGCGAAGCGATGAAATTCGCCGGCCCAACGGGCCAGGGCGTGCTAAGATCTCCGACACCTGGTTAACAGTATTTCTAGTTCGCGCGCGCGGGGCGGCCCCTGGGGGTCCCTCCCGGCAAGGTCGGGCCAGAGATGCCGGAGCCCTGTTACAGGGCCCCAGGACGGGCCAAGAGGTCCCCAAGAAGCCTCCAAGACAGTCCAAGAGGGCCCCGAGACGGCCAAAGATCGCCCGAAGACGCCCAACAGGGCCCCAAGACAGCCCAAGAGGCCTCCAAGACGCCCCAAGGGCCTTCCAAGAGGCCTCCGAAGAGGGCCCCAAGAGGCCAAAATCGTTGATTTTCATTGTTTGTTCTATGTTTTTTGCGTTCTGGCTTTTTCGGCTTCCGGACGCTCCAAGACGGCCCAAGAGGCCCCCAAGACCGCTCCAAGACGGCCCACGAGGCTCCCAAGACGGCCCCGGAACGGCCCAGGAGGGCCCCCAAGACGGCCCAAGTGCCGCCCAAGACGGACCAAGAGGCCCCAAGACGGGCCCAAGAGGGGCTCAAGAGGGGAACCGAGAACTGAAAAATCGAGCCCTCCGCCCCAGAAGGCGCCCAGGAGGCCCCAAAAAGGCCCCAAGAGGCCCCCAAGAGGCCCCCCCCAAGACGCCCCAAGAGGCGCCCAAGAGGCCCAAAAGAGGCCCCAAGAGGCCCAAAAACGGCCCCCAAGAGGCCCCGAAACTCGGCTAGCCCACAACGGTGCGACAATATGGGCCGGCGGAATGAGCGAAGCGATTAAATAGAACTAAGGTAACGAAGAATGACATAAACATAAAACTCGGAGGTCCGCGCGGATTTCTCGGATCCGCGCTGGTTCCCCCTGGCGGCGCCTCTGGCGCCGCCCCTGGCGCGCTCCGCGCGCCAGGGGATGGGGTCCAGCGCCGATCCGAGAAATCCGCGCGGACCTTCGAGTTTTGTTATGTTTATGTCGCTCTTCGTTCTCCTTGCAACGATCACCTCCGAGAACTCACGTTGATGCCGCTTCGTGTTTTCTGCGTGGCTGCATCCGTCGCCGATGCGCGCTTGAGGCGGCAGCCGCAGGGGCGGCGGGCGCGGCGGGGCGCACTCCACACCCTGGTCGTCCTGCCGCGGGGGGGCCGCCGCGCGGGAGGTCCCGCGAAGGGCTCCTCCTCCCCCCTCCTCCTACCTCCTCCTCCTCCTCCTCCTCCTCCTCCTCCTCCTCCTACTCCTCCTCCTCCTCCTCCTCCTCCTCCTCCTCCTCCTACCTCCTCCTCCTCCTCCCCTCCTCCTCCTCTCCCCTCCTCTCCTCCCCCTCCACTCCCCCTCCTCCTCCCCTCCCCCCTCCTCCGCCCCTCCTCCTCCTCCTCCTCCTCCTCCTCCTCCTCCTCCTCCTCCTCCTCCTCCTACTCCTCGTCCTCCTCCTCGTGCGCGTGGCCATCCTCACGGGTGCACGCTGGCACGGATTAGGGATCCGCGGCTCGGGCGCGCGGGCGCCAGATCCACAGATCGGGGAACCTGCCCCCCTGACAGAGGAAGCCACTGCCGCCTCCCTTCGTGACGCAGCGCGCGCTGGTTTCGCACGGAAGCGGGGCCCGTCGCAAATCCACGCGCTTCCATCCTTGCGCTTCCATGATTGAAATTTATTGACGAACGGAGGACATGATAAGATGAACTTCCCCGCCATCGGGGACGACTCCCCCGAGGCGACTGGAACAATCATACGCCGTCGCTCCACCGGGAGGGGGCACCAAAACTTCCCAGCCGCCCTGGGGCAAGCGCCCTCGGGATGGCGGGACAACTTGTCTTTGTCAAGTTGTACTCCGCTAACTTTCCCACAACCCCTCCCCGTTCCGCACTTCCCTCCCGCTCTCCACGACAGGGACGCGTCGACATCAAGCCGAGGTTTGGGGGTGCCTGCTCCGAAGAACGGGTGAGATTGGCCCATATCTGACGCATCGCGAGAACCGCTAGCATGTGCGACCATGTGAATGGGACGCGCAGGGACATACTAATACTATCTGTCCTCCTTGGAGACGCGCGTCCGACTCGAACATAGAGTATGACCATCCTGTAGTAGATCGTTTCCCGAGCGGTACGGCCAGATAACGCTCGCCACGACGCATCATGTATAAGATTTCTCGGTGCGCGCGTCGCCCCTGGGGTGGGTGGCGACGCACACATAGTATTAATGTGTTGTGGCGCCGCCGATGTGGAAGCGGAACGCTCCGCATTCGGAAGCGACTGGGGATAATGACGGGCCCGAGCAAGAGCACGGAGCGTAATTCTGCAACGCGCAAGCCAGCTTCCTCAAAACCGTCGCAGCTCACGAGCCCCGCGCGACCGAGCTCGCGAACAGGATGCCTAACATCGCTGGAGGCTGACAAGATCCAAGGCGTGGTTCCTGGGCGGAGATCAAAGGCCGCGATTCTTTTCATCCGTGGCCTCGACATCCGTCCAGCGCCCATTCCCCGGGACATGTCTCCCACTGGGGGTCATTTCCTCACGGTCATAGGACCCGAGACGGACGCCTCGAGGTCCCGAGTGAGTGACACCTGGCCGTCTCAACCTGTTCGCCGTGACGGAGGATGCCTGGGGTTCCACACGCCCTGCCCTGGGGAGACAGGAAAGCACCCATGCGGCCACTCTCTGGACCTCTCTAAGGGTGTGCTCTGACCAGGATGCGGAAGTGAATTCAGACATGGCAGGAGGCCCCCCAAAAACGAGAGCGAGGGAGTGGCACAAGTAAGAGTACCCCGACACCTGTCGATGCGTTTCTTCAGTGCGCGGCTCCAGAGGTCCCGACCCCTTCCCCCTCCCCCTGGGCTATTTTTCCACCCTGGAGCCACTTGTGAGGGCCTCCTGGGGCCCGGCGACGAACCCCAGATGCCCCCAACCGAGAGAAAACCGTGGGATCTTGGCACCTCCTCTTCCCTGCTCCTCCCTCGTCATCCTCTCCCCACCTCCCTCGCCCTCCCTCGGTCCTCCTCGATCCTCCTCCTCCTCCTCCTCCTCCTCCTCCTCCTCCTCCCCCCTCCTCCTCCTCCTCCTCCTCCTCCTCCTCCTCCTCTCCTCCTCCTCCCTCCCCCTCCCCCTCCTCCTCCTCCTCCTCCTCCTCCTCATCTCCTCCTCCTCCTCCTCCCCTCCTCCTCCTCACTGGCCTCGCTAGACGCCCTCCGTCGAGCAGCCCGCCCACCCGCCCCAACCCTGGGGGCCCCCCCCCCCCTCTCCTCCGATGGCCGCGAGGAGCGCGGCGCCCAGGGAGCGGGCCCACCACAGAACAAGGAGGAGGAGGAGGAGGAGGAGGAGGAGGAGGAGGAGGAGGAGTGGACGTGCGCACCGCCGCTCGGCGGCGCGCGCCGAGGGGGGCAGAACGAGGGGGGGCGGGCCTCCTCGGAGGGCCCACGGCAGGCCTCCGGCCTCCCGGGCCCCCTCCCCGAGGCCCGACGGGGGGGCCTCTCGGCGGGCGGCCGCGGGACTGGCCATCGCTCGGACGTCCCTTCCCTGTGTTTTTTCTCGGTTTCGTGCGTGGCTTTCTCGCCAAATGATCAAGGATGCTCCCCGATGGTCCTCGCCGAGAGGAAAATGCACACGCCCGAGCGATGCCAAGGGGAGAGCTCCCGACGAGGCGCCACGCGGCGCCCTCTGCGAGGAGGCCTGCCCCCCTCTCGCCTTTCCCCCCTCGGCACGCCGGCCTCCGCGAGGAAGGACGGCGGCAGGCAGGAGGGCCGGGACTGCTGCCGTCGCCTCGGAGCACAGGACGCAGAAGGACATGCCGGTCCCGTGTGCGTCCCCGCTGGAGACGCGCCGCCGTGGGGGACTCCGCGTCAGCGTGCGCGTCACGATGGTGGAGATGCGCCTCGCACTTCGCTCGCGCAGAGAATACAGCGACCTCTCCGAGGCACCGCGCAGCTGCTCATCTGCATGCTCTCGCACGCCACCGCAGATGTACAATACGAGCTGCCGGATCGTCTGCCGATGCGCCGTCGAGGCGCAGCCTTTTTCCTGCCCCGTGTCACCGGTGTGGGTGCGCCTGGCCATAGGACAACAACGGAGGAGCGGCACGCCGCCGGACTCCCGGCGGCGGCGCCTCTGTCCGGGAGGCGTGAGGATCGAGATCGGCGGGCTCGAGCTTTCCTGGCGGGCCCGTCCGAATGATGGCCACGTCTAAAACTCGGCAGGGGCTTCCGCCCGCGACGTCACGCGAAAACAGCACGGCCGGACCTGGGACAAAAGGACCTTCGAGAACATGAGACCCTCCGCCGGCCAAACTGACGAACATTCTGGGGTACCCTCCTCTTGGATATACAAGAAGAGGTAAGGTACCCTCCCCGAGCCGACCTCGATCTCAGACCTCGGTCCGACCGTAGCGACCGCGAACCCGTCATCCGCCGTTCGAGCAGACGTCCGTGGTGTCGGCCTGTCGAGCTGAACCCCCGTGGTCGACCTTGTGCCGCAACCACAGGAGGAGCACACGGCAGTGCGGCCTCGCTGTGAGCACATCGCGTGCGCTAAGCCCGCGGAGGGCCGCCGACATTGCGAGGCTCATCCGTGAAGAAGAGCGATGTGGAAGAGCATCGATCCAGATCATGACCAGGGCCCAGCTATAACTGACCCAGAAAGCACGCAAGATGGCCAAGCATCCTGAAAGACGCGTGGGCTGGTTGGCAAGGACACTTGTGATTCCTGCCAAGATTCGCCGTGGGAACAGTTTCGCCGTCACCCCCTCAGGCCATCAGAATCATCACATACATGACCGACAAACAAAAACTATCAGCGAGCTGGCCGCGAGGGGGCAGAGGAGGTGCCTGGCACCGCCAGTGCCCGAGGAGACGCTACCAACCTCGTCCACGATGCCGCCCTCGACAACGCTCATGCCGACGACGCCGATTGGATCCCCATTCGTGACTGCATCGATGCCGCTGATGCTGTTGACCTGCCCCGCAAGGCTGTCGGCCATCCACCCCGCCGTCGTCCATCCAGAGACGTCCGCCGCCGTCTGATCCTGCGGCACAGTGATGCTCGCCCTGACGACCACGGACCCCTGCGAGAATTCCACGGCAACACTGGAGGTCGGGACGCCAGCCGCGTCTGCCACAAACCCGACGCATGCCGCCCTCATGGCGTTGAGCACGTCACTGTTCGCCATCAGCAGGCTGTAGTCCACGCCCGTCACCGTCATCTGCACCACAACGATGTCCTCAGCCTGCTGCGACCCGGTGATGCTAGTGCTAACCTCCTCCGAGGGACAACGCCAAAGGAGGGGCATCGGCTTAGGAGAGCAGGCATCGACTTGGAACCCGCGATATGCATCGCGGACGGACGGGAGGCAGATACCCCCGATGCCGAATCCGCACGCTCCTGGGCGGGGTGGACCCCTGTCGGCGATGCATGTGCGCTTGGGGGCCGATGCATCCCCCCTTGAGCCCATCCCCCCCAAACGCTGCCCCCCTGGCCCTCGGGTTATGTCGGGCATGTTCCCCTACAGGGGGATCTTCGACGAAAAATAACAAGAAACCTCAAAAATGCCCCAACGAGGCCAAAACATACAAACAAACAAAAAAGTCCCCGCACTATTCTTGGACTATGTTTGGATTATTTGTGGGGTATGTTTTAGTTTTCCTCGAAAATCCCCCTGTAAGGGGGGACAGGCCCGACTTGGCCCGCGGGCCCCGACGTGGCTCCCCGGCGGCCGCTCGGGGCGAGCTGAGCGACCCCCCCGGGCGAGGCGCGGCCGCCGCAGAGGGGCACCCCCCGAGGCGCCCGAAGGCCGACGGGAGCCCGCGAGCACGCCCGAGCACCCTCGGAGCTCGGGAGCCTACTGCAGGTCCGTGCCGTGTCGACCCCGGCGTTGGTTTCTGACACCGCGCTGGATCGTTCAACCTTGAACGATCGGCCGTCTCCGCAGCGTCCGATCGTTCAACATCGATCGATTCTGGGCCGCCGGCGGCGTTCAACCTTGAACGCCCGCGCTGGGGTCGCCGCTGGTCGACACGACGCAAGCCTACCGTAAAGCGCCAGCTTGAAGACATGCTCCGCGTGCGGATCATAGATGGAGAAGAAAGAGGTTTAGTGGTCAAAACAATGACGAGTGTATGCGATGATGCATTCGTAAATTAATCATGCAATAAAAACGATGTATTAAACATCCAATGGATTCAAATCTCCCCTGTATGATCCTCCCAGGTAGAGCATCGATTGGGCAAGGGCCGACCGTCCCGGCATTCCCACAGTCCCACCGCGAAGTGTCCTCAGAGCCCAGGCATGTTCTAAGAACAAGAACAATGTTCGGAGCTCGGGAGCCTACAGCGCCAGCTTTAAGACATGCTCCGCGTGCGGATCATAGATTGAGAAGAAAGGGATTTAGTAGTCAAAGCAATGATGAATTGATGCATTGATGTATTAGTAAATCAATCATGAATTAAAAACGATGTATCAAAAATCCAATGGATTAAAATATGCCCTGTATTATCCTCCCAGGTCAAGCATCGATTGAGCAGGGGCCGACCGTCCCGGCATTCCCATAGTCCCACCGCGAAATGTCCTCAGAGCCCAGGCATGTTCTAAGAACAAGAACAACGTTCTCAGAACACAAGCCTGATGTGTTAGAACAAAGCAGTCCCAGCCAGAACTGTTCTGAGAGCAGTTCCTGGGAACCACACAAGCTTCTTAGAACATTGTTTGGTAGGGCTATGGGCGAGCCAGGACGCTTCGCTACTACTTGAGTCAAGATGCTGAGGGATGCTGCACTTCAGCCCGGGTCCATGCAACCCTGGCTCTGCAGGATCCTGCGAGATCTAGCGCTCTGGCCGACCCCCGTTTGCATTCACCTCCGTCTCAAGGTTCTCGACCGCCATCGGGGGCGCCTGCCCTGGGGCGACTGGACAGTTCATACTCCGACGCACCACCGGGGGGGCACCAAAACTTCCCAGCCGCCCTGGGGAGGGCGCTCTGGATGGCGGAACATCTTGTCTTTGCCAATGTGTAGTCTGCTAACTCTCCCTCTGACCCCCGTTTACATTGACCCCCGTCTCTACCAGCTCGACCATCCCCCCCTGACTGCGGGGAACACTGTTGCCCATGTCCTCTGCAGCGTGGAGATCTGGGCCCCTCTCACCCTACACCCGAGGTGCACTGGATATGGGCAAGTGCTCCCCAAAGGCTCGATGTCTATCCACATCTGGTGCGCCTCGGCCTTGTGGCGCCCCTTCCAAGAAAATCCAAAACGCACTGGATATGGATACGGTTAAGTCGGGCCTGTCCCCCTACACGGGGATTTTGGTAGAAAAATGAAAAATATTCAAAAAATGCATCAACATGGTCCAAGAATACTAACAACATAGTCCACGGACTATTTCTTACCATTGGTGAGTATTCCTCCTGTAGAGGGACAGGCCCGACTTGAGGATACGCTTCTTGTCCACATCCCGCGGCGCCTCCGGCGCCGCGGGCGCCCCCGCCGTCGAGGTCGAAGAGCTCTGGGCCGCCTCCGCCGTGGTGCCGGCCTCCCCCGGCCCCTGCTGGCCATCGCTCGGACGTCCATTCCCTGTGCTTTGTTCGGTTCGTGCGTGGTTTTTCGCCAAATGATCAAGGATGCTCCTCGATGGTTCTCGCCGAAGAAAAAATGCACACGTCCGAGCGATGCCAAGCCTGGCGCGGCGGCTGCGACGTAGCGGCGGCGGCCCACGTCGAGGCCGGCGGCGCCCACGCCGGCGTGGTGCCGGCGCCCCCGCAGCCGGCGGCCAGGTCCTCGAGCAGGGCCGCCGTGCACTCGACGCCGTCTGCGCAGAGGTCAAAACATCCGCCCCTACATTGTAGGGGCGGATGTACTTTTGACAACGTCCGCGACATGTGCGAGGATGTTAACCGGGGGGAGAAGGTACAATTTTTGTACTTGCAACCCGCAGAGAAGGTACAAATTGTACCCAAACAAAACGGTACCGGATACTCACCCCCCCATGTCCTGATCCCCCCATTGCCATCCGGCCGATACAATCATGAACCGCCCTGGCACGCGAAGTCGTGGGCAAACGAGCCCCAAGAAGGAATCGATCAGGGCAGGGCTCTCGTAGTAAACGCCCCGGGCCGTTTCGTAGACGCCCAGGGCCGCCGTGCAGTCCACGCAGACTCTGGGCACAACTCGAGAAACAACAGAAACTGCGTAAACAGAGTTCTTGGATCTGCGCTGAAACCTCTTCCCTGACGCGCGGAGCGCGTCTGGGGAAGCGCCGGAGGCGCCGCCACGCGGGTTCCAGCGCAAAGGCAAGACGTCCGCGCGGAGCGTCCAAAAATTATGTTTACTGCCGTGCTTTCGTCCTCGAGCAAAAAGATTGGCGACTCCGAGGGGTCTGGCTGGCAGAGGGTTCCGGGTGCCGTTTGCAGCCCGCACCTTGGGGGGGGGGAGCGGGCGAGGACCTCGACAGAGTTCCCCGTCGCGCCCCGAGAAGGCCCGACGAGGGCAACGTGACGCCCCCGAAGCCCCAACGACGCAGATCGCAAACCACACACTGGCTTAATCGCACCCCTTCCAGTCGCCGAAGAAGGCATGAACATGAACTGTCGGATCTGGGAGACGCAAGACGCGGGTACTGGGACTCGGGTTGGCCTGACGGGGCCATCATGAAAATGACGGGTCTGAAATTTGACACGAGCTCCCGCTGCAAATATCCCACGAAAACAGGATCGTCAAAATCCACGACGCGCTCGTCAAAAAAACGTCGGCCGACCCGAGTCCCGGCGTACTCGAGTCTTACGCTCCTCCGATCGGAGGTCCACGCGGGTTTCTTGGGTCGGCGCTGGCCGTCTACACGCAGGAGTGATCCCAGGCCACAGGCACGAGTGGCCTGTGGTGCGCGGCTTTGGGGAGCAGCTGTGGGTTGAGGGGGCGCGGGGAACAAACCTAAGCGTGCGAGCCTTTGCTTCGGCGGTGGACAAACCTCCCTTTAATAAACCTCCCCTTAATGAAAACGGCCTGGGACCGAAACCGACGGACCTGGACCCGCAAAAATGACGGCCGCGACGCCCTCTCGCGAATCGAAAACGGCCAATTCCTTAATCGACGTGTCAGGGTAGGAGGTCTATCCACCTCCGATTGCTGGGGGGGGCCCGCTGGCCCGCACGAAGAGTCACTCCAGCGGAGGGTCGCTCTTGCGCGTCGCCGATCGGTCGACAGACCTCCTACCCTGACACGTCGATTCGCGAATTGGCCGTTTTCGGTTCGCGAGAGGGCGTCGCGGCCGTCATTCTTGCGGGTCCAGGCCCGTCGGTTTCGGTCCTGGGCCGTTGTCACTAAAGGGTGGTTTGCTAAAGGGAGGTTTGTCCACGGCCGAGCCGAACGACCCTGCCGGCGCGCTCCGGCGCCGCCCCGGGGGGGTCCCACGGCAGCGCCGATCCAAGAGATCCGCGCGGACCTCCGAAAGCTTGTGCTTTGGCAGCGCGCGCAATGGGGTAGGGGGAGGGGGGAAGGCTTCTTAGGAGGCTGCTTCTGAAGGCACCGACCTTACATCTGTAGATAAAGCTCGCGCCTCCGAAGAGGCGGGGTTTGCGCTTCTGAGCAGCCTTCCTCCCTCCCCCTTCCTCTCTGCGCGCGGCTGACTTCCTCGAGCCTGGGACCGTCATGGGGTTGCAGCCCACGGGCGCGCCCCCGGGGATCCAGAACACGCCCGACCCGAGCGCCGCCTGGACAAAGGCCTCCCAAGTGGGGTCCGAGCAATCGAATGGGGTCGGAGAATCGCGCCGCATCGCCGAAGCATCGCCGACGCATCGGCGCCGTCGCCGTGGAGAAGACCGGGCTCCACATCGAGCCGCACCGCCGATGTTATCGGCGATCATCGGAACCCATCTGGGAGGTACGCCCGACCGTAGCGCCGCCTCGAGCCCGGCCCAGGCGGACGGCCCCACCCCGGGCGGGAAGTCCGTGGACAGCACCTGCGCGCCCCCGGCCAGCGCCTGCGCCTGCCTGGCGGCGTCGAACTGCAGCTCCTCATCGACCCGCGTTCGCACCCAGCTGCCGCCGGCCACCCCTGGCAGGCTCGACGGGTCGTTGGCCACGGCCACGGCTCGAGGAAGAAAGAGCTGCACGCCGCGGATCCTCCGACCGCGCGTCGGCGCCAACGCGTGCTCGTCCACCGAGGCCCCTCAATATGACGCAGGCAGCGCCTCGAGGGCCCGCACCAGCTGCGCGCTGCCGGCGGAGCCGACTCGGATAAACACACGCTTGAGCTGCCACACGTCCTGAGGATGATCGATGCGTCAGCAGACACTTTCGGGACTCCGTGCGGATTTCTTGGATCGGCGCTGGGCCCCCCTCCCTGGCGCGCAGAGCGGGCCAGGGAGGGGGGGCGGAGGCGCCGCCAGGGGGGCCCAGCTCCAGTCCAATAAATTCCGCGCGGACCCCCGACGAGGTGCCTGTCTATGCAGGTTGTTCTTCTCCGAATGGCGCCACCATCGCCGAAGTAGTAGCCCGCCGAGTCGCCCCGGTCGCCCCACGAGGACGGGGTCTGCACATGGACTGGTAAGGCTTCGGGCTGCGCACAGAAAGGCCCCCCAGGTAGTCCTGGCTGGCCTCAGCAGGCCCCCACAAGCTACGTTTTCGACCGTGGGCCTCTAGCTGCCCATCTGCCTGGGGCGGTCCTGCGGTCTTCCAGCGGTCTGCGGCGGTTTCCTGGCGGCCCTCGGCGGTCTCCAGCGGTCTTCGGCGGCTTCCCGCGGTCTTCGGCGTGAAAGCTGGAGGCTTGCGTTTACCAAGGGTTCCATGATCGAACACCTAACACGGGTACTCTTAAGTCGGGCCTGTCCCCCTACAGGAGGATTTTTGACCAAAAATGAAAAATAGCCATCGAATCCCTCAAGATGGTCAAGAAATGCTCCAAAAATAATCCCTGGAATATTTTTTTGACTACTTTGGAGTATTCCTCCTGTAGAGGGACACGCCCGACGTAAGGGTACCCCAGGGCGGCCTCGCCATCCCGGCCCCGCCTGGGACGCGGCGCGCCCCCGGTCTGCGCGGCCAGCGGCGGCGCGCCAGGGGGGCTCGAGGCCGCCCTGGACTCCTCGGGAGGCCTGCGGAGGCCAGCCTGGGCGCGCTTTTTCGCTTCCGTTGTGCTGTTGCTCTCCTTCGCTCTGTCTTCGCTCACCCTTTGCTGCGGAGCGAAGCCAAAACGTAAACGGTCCACGACATCGCCCAACACGCCGTTCGGGTCGACCCCCGCGCCCTGGGGGGGGGGCCGTCTGCGCGCAGCCCGGAGCCTGACCAACATAGACCATGGCCTTGCCGCGCGAGGAGCCCACCTCCGGCCAGACGTGGACACCCTCGAGCAGCTGCACGTCCCCCGGCGCGACGCGGGAGGCGGCGGGGAACGCGGCATCCAGGGCGGCGCGCACCGCTGCGAGCGCGTCGGACTGTCCTGCGCTGTCCAGCGTCACGGCGACGTTCGTGGGCTCGGAGACGCACGCCGTCAGGACGTCCTCCACGTCCTCCGAGGTCACGACGTGCTCCGGAGAGTAAGCGCTCACCTCCTCCACGAGGCAGGCCAGGAGCGACTGGCACTGCGCGTTGCCTGCGACGACCGCGAGGAGCTCGGGCACGCAGCCCGACTGCACAGCGCCTGCGCACTGCGATGCCACGGACCCAACGCACTGCTCTTCGATGCTGGAGGCACAAGGGAACTGCACGAGCACGACTCCTCCGAGGCCCGCGCGGACTCCTTGGATCGGCGCTCGGCCCACCTGGCGGCCCCTCCAGCGCCGTCCCGGGTGCGCTCCGCGCGCCCGGGAGGGGGGGCCCAGCGCCGATGCAGGAAATCCGCGCGGCCCGCCGAGAAATCATGTTCCTGCGGGTAAGTGCTCTCCGAGATGCAGGGGGCCGCGGGCTCCGCGTCCGAGTACGCACACTCAGAAGCGTCGGACATCTCCACCCCGCCCATCACTTCGATGTAGAAGTGCAGGGGGAAGTGCGCGGGGTTCTCGGAACTCCAGCCGCTGGCGAGCTGCAGGCAGTCCAGCAGCGTCGCACAGTTGGACACCTCGTCGCTTCCAGGGACGTGCATCACCCTGAGCGTATCGGCGTCGGCGTCGTAGAAGACGTCCAGCTCGAAGGAACGGACTCCGCGGTCGAGCTGGGTGTCCAGGGATGGGTGCGGTAAGGCGTGGGGTTGCGCCCAGACTGCTCCTGGTGGCCCTGGCTGGCCTCACCTCAGGGGTGTGGCATCAAAACTCATGGTAAAGATGCGCGCTAAGAATACAACCCGCTTGGACTCCCGTGCTGAAGCTTTTTCGAGCGCGGTGGGCCATCGACAGCAGTCAAAGATGGACCAACGGGGCACGGATGCAAGGGTACCCGCATGCCGATGATAATAAAGGGACCCCCCCCCTTCAGTGTTTAGAGTTGATTATCGTCGCCCTATACAAACACGTGCTCGGCTTGGTCTCCTCTTGATCATCTCTTACTTCGAGATTATGCTGAGGTCTGCTGGGCTACTTTTATTATCTCTCCCTGAACCCCGAACTTTATTATCCCCTAGTGTTTATTCTCACGGGCATGAGGGTACTCCCGTGAGAAGGTTAGCAATCCGTACCACCGGTTTCGACTGAAGCCCAGGGCGCCTCGACATCCCAACGCTGGGGCGCGGAGCGCCCCTCTGGGACGCGGGCCGCTGAGGCTGAGACCGGCGTGGGATGCTCGCAGAGCCCGTCGAGGCCAGCCAGGGGTCCTGTGTTGGGCGCCCGAGTTATCCGGGGTAACTCGGGTCCGGGGTAACTCGGGTTGGGATTCCCGAAAAACGAACCCGAGTTAGCCCTGACCCGAGTTACCCCTGATGATTCGGGGCTCTGACTGTGCGCAACATCAGGCCTTACCAGACGGGTGGGTGTAATTCCACAATGCTAGAGAAAGAAACAGCTGCATGAACATCAACTTTCAGAGCTCCGCGCGGACGTCTTGGATCGGCGCGGGACCCCCTGCCTGGCGCGCTTCGCGCGCCAGAAGGGTTGCTGGGGATCCCAGCGCCGATCCAAGAAGTCTGCGCGGATGTCCGAAAAGTTTTTGCTTACGCTGGTGTCTCTTCTTCGGAATGCGACCACAGAACCCGCTGGAGCGACGTGGTAGGAGTTGTGTGTGGCCAGCACCTGCGCGCGGCTCACCCCAGGATTGAATCTGCTCGTCGAAGCTGCGAGAGCCATACTTAGAATGTGCCGCATATCTACGGCGCATTCTACGCACGTTTCGCAGATTCGGCGAGGAATTCAAATTTGTGGCAACTCAATTCGGTAGTCGATCTCTTCAAGTAGGGCCCCGACCACAGGAAACCTTCCACAAGAAACCCAACCCTGAGACCCCAGGACGTCCATGGATGTTTGCTGTTGGAGCGTCACGCTCTCCGTGGCAAACCCCTCGAACCCTAAGAAACCCAGGGCACCCTGAAGGCAAGCAGGGTGTTTTTGTGGCATGGGTCTCCACTGCACTCGAAACATAAGAGTTGCGCGTGGCCAGCACCTTTTGAGCAGGGACCGGCCGTCCCGGCATTCCTAAGAGTCCGACCACGAAATGTTCTTAGAACCCAAAAATGTTCTAAGAACAAAAACAATGTTCTTAGAACCTGAACCCGATGTGATAAAACAAGGCAGACTCCGCCAGACATGTTCTCAGAACATTTCGTGGGAACCACAGGAGGTTCTTAGAACACTGTTTGGTGGGGCTATAGGCCGGGACGCTTCGCCACTGCTTGAACAGAAGAATTGCGCGTGGCGACCCGAGGAGGAGGAGGATGAGGAGGAGGAGGAGGAGGAGGAGGAGGAGGAGGAGGAGAGGGAGGGGAGGAGGAGGAGGAGGAGGAGCAGGAGATGGAGGAGGAGGTAGGAGGAGTAAGAATTGCGCGTGGCCGGCACCTGCGCGTGGTTCAGGCGCAGCCCCACCGCGGAGCCCCCGGCGCATCCCGCCGAGGCCCCGGGCGCGATCGCCAACAGGCCCGCCCACGCTGCCGCCGCGCGAGCGGCGCGCGCCACCGCGGGGGGCATGGCCGGCACGTCCCCTACCAGCCTCGAACGTATCCCTACCCTTAAGATTGACACGCCAAAAAAAGCGATGACAAGCTTAGGGGTTCGCCCTCAAAAATGAGGGAATCCCCAAGGTTGGCATCGTGATGAGGAGATGCCCAGCATAGGGATAGGGATCTGTTCCAGGCTGGTAAGTCCCGCAGAGGGCATCCACGCTTTTCTCGTCGGCGGCGGGGCAGAGGCGGTCCGCTCCAGCGTGTGGCATTTCGGGGCAACCGAGGGGCTAAGTTTGCGTCGGGCCTGTCCCCCTACAGGCCGGTTTGGGACGAAAAATGACAAATACCCCGAACATACCCTAAACATGCTCAGAAATGGTAACAAAAATAGTCCCCGGACTATTTTTTGGCTAGTTTTAAAGATTCCCCCTGTAGAGGGACAGGCCCGACTTGAGGCTAATTGGCCCGCGTGCATGGAGCGGGGAGAGAGACAGACGAGGCGGCCGCAGAGTGGTGAAGGGGCCCCAGGGCTTACACATAAATGCACACAAATAGAAGGATTCCCCATACTTTCCCATACTTTCTGGGTTTTGATTTCCCATATTTTCCTATATTTTCCTGGGAGTCGACGATTAATTGTGTCCGTGTGTTTCTCTCCCTCCTGACGTGGGGCGGGGCGGAGGGCACTCTGATGTGGAAGAGTTCCACCCCGAGCGCGCTGGCGCGGCCAGCGGCGGCAGCGGAGGACCGCGGCGGCAGCCGAGCCGCTGACTACCTACACAGACCACCCCAACCCGAACCGAAGGCCCGAATTTCGGGTTTGGGGGGGGGGATGGGCTCCATATATATATATATATATATATATATATATATATATATATACACAAGACTGCAGTGGCGCTTCGCGCCATGCACCTTGGTCCTTGAAGTTTGGTACGCAGGCGGAATGGCAGGAAAGTCAAGCCGAAAATTTAGCGATAACTCCTGTTTGCCTTTTCCGGCATCGCCGCTATAATGATGTTATTCGTTATCCTTCCTCCATGCTTATTGTTCCTTAGTTTCGCCATACCCTGCGCATTCTCCCCATCCTCCTCAGCTCTTTTTTTGCGGAGGCTCCTCCTTGGAGAGCCTCTAGGGGCCTCACAAAAGTTGTTTCGGGCTTTCTGAAAGCCTTCTGGAGGCCTCCCGGGCGAATTCTGGGGGCCTCCGGGGGCTTCCTCGGGCCACCCTGCCTCCAACCACCGTCTCCCTGAACGACCGAATCACGATTTGGAATTCTTCGCAGGGTGTCTTTGGGCCATCTTGGGCCGCCATGGGGCTCTCTGAGCGCCATCTTGGACCCGTGTTGTGCCGTTTTGGGGTTCTCTTGGACTGCCTGGAAGCCCTTTCGGATGGTTGTGGGGCGATTTGGGAGCCTCCCAGGCGGCTTTGGACGCCGAGAAGACCGCTGTCTTGGAGCGTCGGGAAGCCGAAAAGAGGAGAACCCCAAAATTCACCAAAAACCCACTGAAAATCAATGATTTTTGCCTCGGGGGGCCTTCATGGGAGTGCTCTTGGAGGCCTCTTTGGGGCCGTCCTGGAGGCCTCTTGGGCCATCTTGAGGTCACGTCGGTAACTCTTGGAGCGCTCTTGTGCTGTCTTGGGGGTCTTTGGGACGTCTCCGATGACCCCCTGATCGTCCTAAGTGTGCTGGGAAGGCTTGGCAAAACGCCTTGCGAGGCCCGGTGGCCGCTTCGAGGCCCGTTCGGAACGTCCCAAAGCCCCAGGTCCCAGGAGTCTGGTTTTGGGGGGTGTGGTGGGGGGGACGGGTTTTCCCCCCGCCCGGGCTTATACAAATATAGGAAGAGGATTATATATATATATATATATACACATATATATATATATGTGTATATATATATATGTATATATACATGTGTATATATATATATATATGTGTGTATATATATATATTTCTTTCGATGTTCCCCGACCCCCCCCCCACTGGAAATGGAGGGCAGATTGAGGCCTTCGGGCTGGGTTGGGGTGATCTGGTGGGCGGTGAGCCGCGGCGTCGGTGCATCCGCGGGCGCTGCCGATGCCCAGTGCGCGGAAGAGCGGGCTGGTGCGGAGGCGTCCACACGCAGAGGAACAAAACGACGGCATGATCATAAGCATCTAACGGTCCGCGCGGACCGCGTGAACCGTCAGAAGTGCATGCTCACGCAGTTTGTATCACTCGAACACACCATCAGCATCGCGGGCGAAACACATGTTGTATTTGGACCCTGTGCGACTGCGAAGCCCAATCAATACATATGTGTGTGCTGCACGCTACGACGACAAACTTACTTCCATTGGTCTCCGTGGATACACACTGGTGAAAACAACGACGGCAACAACGGGCGAGAAACATATCCGTATCCGCAACCTCGCTCGCAGGGCTCCTTGGGCCGCGACCCCGCGGATACTGGGCGAATTTTAACGCGTCTGTACTACTGCGTATTCTCGGGATCTCGCCCAGGAATCCAGACCGCGAGGGCGTGGACACGGATACGTTCGCACCTCGTGACAGCCTTCCTGACCAGGGCCACCCTCAGGCCCGTGCGTGGAACGAACTTACGCCGTCCTGTAGGGGAACAGTGAAACTGCATGAACACAAACTCTCGGAGGTCCACGCGGATGTCTTCGATCTGCGCTGGAATCCCTGGCGGCCCAGCCGGCGCCGCCCCTGGCGCGCTCCGCGCGCCATGGATGGGCGCCCAACGCCGACGCAAGAAATCCGCGCGGAGCTCCGAAATCATCTGTTTCTGTTTTTTTTTGTTCGGCTCCTGTCGGAGGTCAGGAGGTCTGCACACCCTCCCGGGGCTGAAGGTGGGCATCGTGGTGGTGTATAGGTGCCCTCTGCGGCGACACCAAAGCCAGAGACAATCTCAAGGGCTCGCAGGGTGCGGGAGGGCGTGCGCGAGCACGCGACGGAGCCCCGAGCTGGACTCGGGCCAGACTGGATGCGGACACGGAGGTTCCTCCGACCGCATGCCCTCCTCTTCCTCCTCCTCCATTCCTTCGCCTTACAAATAACTTCTCCCTCTCGCACCCCGAGCCTAGGTTTTAGAGCGGGCCAGGCGTTTCGCCTGAGACTTCCTCACCATTTATGACCCTGAAGCTTGAACATTGACAACATTTTCACATATGGAAGGCGGGTGGTTCTCAAACTGTGGAATAGAATCCACATCAGTTCCAAAATCCTCCCAACTCGTCCTTTTGCCTCTGTAGAACCCTCCCCAATCCACAAATCCTCCCCAACTCTTGCTTGTTCCTCTGTCGAATCCTCCAGAATTCTAAAATCCGCACCAATTGCTGCTTTGTTCCTCTGTCTTCTCGGTCGAACCCTGCTCAATTTCTAAGTCCACCCCAAATCCTGTTTCCTCCTCTGCCGAATCCTCCCCAACTCCTGTGTGTTCTTCTTTTCTTCAGTACCAAAATTCCTCCCAAACTACTGCGTCCCCCTCTGTAGAATCCTATATAATTCCCACACCCTCCCCGACTCCTGCTTTTTCTTCTGCAGACTCCCCTTTCCAATTCCAAGATGCTCCCAAACTCCGTCTGTCTGTCCACTGTAGAATCCTCCCCGAGTCCCAGATCCTGCCCAACTCCTGCGTTGTTTCTCTGTGGAACCTTCCGCAATTCCAAAGTCGTCCGCAATTCCTGGTGTTTCCCCTGTGGAATCCGTCCTCATTCACAATTCCACCCGAACTCCTGCTCGCTCCTCTGTAGAACACTCACCAATTCCCAAATCCTCACCCGTTTCTGATTGTTCCTTTGCAGAACCCCCAAGGAACAAATCCTACTCAACTCCCGTTTTTGTTCCCATCTGTTTTGTCGAGCCCTCCTCAATTCCCAACACCTCCCCAACCCCTGCTTTTTCCTCACTAGAATCATTTCGTACTCCTGACGCATCCCCAACTCCTGTTTTCTCTTCTGTAGAATCCTCAACATTTCCCACATCCTCCCCAACTCCTGCGAGTTCCTCTGCAGACTCCTCCCCAGTTCCGAAATCCTCCCCATGTCATACTTTTGCCGTTTGTGGAGTCCTCTCCAATTCCAAGATACTCCCCAAATTCTGTGTGCTCCTCTGCTGACTCCTCCCCAATTCCCAAATCCGACCCAACTCCTGCTTTGCTCCTCGATGTGGAACCTTCCGCAATCCCAGAATCCTCACCAAATCCTGTTGTTTCCTCTGTGGAACCCTCCCCATTGCACATTTCCTTCCCAACTCTGGCTGTCTCCTATGTAGAACCCTCTCCAATTCACAAATCCTCCCTAATTCCTGCTTTTTCCTCTGCAGAAGCCTTTCGAATTCTAAAAATCTATACAACTCCTGCGCTTCCTCTGTAGAATCCGCAACAATTCCCAACTCCTGCCCAACTCCTGCTTTTTCCTCTGTAGAACCCTCCACAAGTTCCAAATCCTCCCTGGCTCCTGCCATTTTCCCTTGTAGAATCCTCCACAATTCCGACATACTATCCAACTCCTGCATTCTCCTTTGTAGATACCCCTCACAAGTCCCAAAATCCTCCCCGGCTCCTGCCCGTTCCTTTTCTGTAGAACCCTCTACAATCCCCAAATCCTCCCCAACTCCTGCTCTTCTGTCTCTAGACTCCACAAACTCCTTCTTCCTCTGTAGAATCCCCCCCACTTCCTGAGAAAACCCCCGACCCACAATTTCTCCCCAACTCTTGCGTTTCCCTTTTGCTGAGTTCTTACCAATTCCAAAATCCTGCCCAACTCCTGGTTTTTCCTTTGTAGAACCCCCCAATTCCCAGATCATACCGAAATCCTGCTTTTTCCTTTGTAGCACCCTCCACAAGTCCCAAATCCGACCTGGCTCCTGCTTTTTTTCCCGGTAGAATCCTCCACAATTCCCAATTCCTTCCCAACTCATGATGTTTCCCTATGCAAG